AGGGTGGGACTCACTCCAGTGATATTTATTTCTGCATGTTGGATTTTCTTTTTTGGGCCCACTCACATTAGGTTCACCTGACAGCCAGTCTTTTCCTGGGGGCTTTCATATTGGTGGCATATTTACTCTTGTGACTGGACAGGATTCTTTCATGGTGTGATCAGTTCAACCTCGGGTATTTCATTGGATTTGTTCCCAGTTTGGCACACCAGTGATTGATGGTTTCACCACTCCTCTCAGTACAAAACTCCTCCTCTTCTGGTTCCCAGTACCTTTGGCTGTAAATGCTCTCAGCCTCATCTCTTTCTGTACATGTACCTTCCTTTTCACCTTCTCCCATGTGTCTTGGCATTGATTTGAAACACTTCTTGTCAGGTCCTATTGATAGCACTTTTTTTGGCTACCTCAGTCTTGGTTTTCTTTTCTTCAGTGACTGCATCCAAGACATCTCTTCCTTTGCCTCTACCTCAGTCAATCTTGCACTAACCTCATACGTCTCTCTTTCACCTGGGAATGTCATACTTTCATCTTCACATGTAGGATTTTACTGGTCCCTTGCTTACCAGTCAGGTTTCTCTGACTGCATATCTCTTTTTTTTATACCATTTTTGTCAACCTTCTTTCCTCTCTATCTATCAACAAAGGTGACATTTTTTTTGCTGCAGATCCATTGTTGCTCACATTTCAGCCTTTTTTTATCTGATTGTTTGACCAAGGATTGTTGGTTTCTACTATTGCTATTGGGAGGCCTTGTCAACTGCCTTTCACCTTTTTTTTGCTATGATTCTGTCTTTTTCCTCCCTTGTTCTTCCCAGTTTTTTCTGATCTTTCCTAATTAATTGTTCCAACTGGAACCCTAATCTGGTTTACATGCTCTCATCCAGTCTCTGTTTTAATCCTTGGCCACTTGCTCCTTATACTATTTTTCTTTTAACACCATTTCTTCTTGTTTGTGGGTATTACAGATCTAATCTTTAAGTATTGGATGCCTCCTACTTTGTTTTACAGATCTTTCTGAATTTTATTCTTGAATATTCATTTCTTCCTAAAACTTGGATGGCTTGAGAGGGAGATCATACCTTTTCTCCCATATCTCTTCCATTGATCTCAGCCCTCTATGAGCATACTGACCCTAATCACCTTTTGTGTCCAGTTTGGGCTGTAAAGTGTTACTTGGCATGCATGGCTCTTATTTCAGGGTTCATGCAATAGTTTATTCTTGCTATAACACCTCTCTTCCTCCAAGGATCTCTCATCCTCTATGCCTATCAGATGGATTTGTCAATTCATTCGGATCATCTATTTCTCCTGTATGGAGATAATTGCGTGCTGTATCATATCTCATCACATCAAATTCACCACTTGACTCACACTCTGGCCTTGCACTTTCAGTGAACCTTGGATGGGACCTTGGAATAAGGACTATACCCAACACCTTTGTCTCATATTATCTCCACCATCTGGTAATTTTCCACCTTTTCTTTACACTATCAGTGCACATTATTATTGCCTCATCTAAGAATGAAGTTAATGTTGAGTGCAAGTGCTTATAGGGATCCGCTGTGCAGGAAAACTGTATTGCCTTCCTATTGGTGGAGAGCTATTGTCGTATGATGATTACATAATGTACTAGCACAGTTCATGTTATGACACATGTTTTAGGTGGGAGATAGCTCAAGGCTACTGGCATGTGCAAAATCTCAAAGGCAGATGTGTGAGGAATAGTTACTGTGTGCTGAGACATAAGTATCTATCAGAAATACATTTTCAGGAAAGGAAAATGTTAACTTCAGCATTTCCTCCTCACTTAGCTGTTTATCTGGAACAATCTGCAGACCCAGTAATTCAAAACACTGCTGAGTTTCTGATATCTGCAATTCCTCTACACTTATTAGTTTTATGGAATGAATCTTATCTTCAGTTTAGTCAGTTACCTATAATTCATTTAATAATGCCTCAGCATTTTCCATGATCATACAGTAAATGACAAGATAAACCAATAAAAGACAGACCTAAATTTTACCAATATCAGTTGCACTCCTTACACCAAAATGTGACATACTTGAAATCATCCTAACTACTAAGGTTCTTTAATAAAACAGCCATAGATGGATGATTATAACAACTAATGATGAAAGAGTTTAATTTTAAGTAAGTTGTTGAAAATTTCAAGCCAGAATAATGCTAGCATACCAAACATGGGAGAAACAAAAGATGCCCTAAACAGGTCAACAGAAGTAATAAATAAATTCACTGTCCAGATTTTTCATTATCACTTTTATAATAAAACTGTTTCTATTACTGAAATCATTCTTGCAAACTATAATGGAGTTAAATATTTTGAACAGTTAGACTGTGCATAAATTCTTACTATTAATTCTAAATTAGACTACAGAATAATTTTAGTAATAGTACATTTCCCTTTGTTAATATTGTAATAACCTGTGATACAATTTCATTAGGTTCATTACAATTGACTATTACTTGGGCTAATATATTTATAGTTCATTGGTTCATATCTTATAAATCTACTATTCAGCATTTAATCTAATTTTCAGTTTGTGCATCTAAACAAAATTACTATACTTTTCAAATGTTTAACAGTTATTTGACACACCTATGAAGACAATGGTAAAAACCAATCATAATAGTAATAGTACAATTCTGCTTATGAACCCAACACAAATTTAGGTTTGCAAAAAACTCACTGAAAATATGGCATGTCACATCACACAAACTCCATGGATTCATGAGGTCAGAAGTTTCTTTCAGACTTGCTTATTCTAACTTCCATCTAAACAAAGAAATGAAAAGTCAGCACTGTCAAAATTAGATACTTTGCTGCTTAATGCACTTGAACACACATCAAGTACCTCACTCAATTGCTCGACTCAAGCCTGTCCCTGGACATCTACCCCCTGAGGAATAATAAAATCTTAAATCCACACTTATAACAAGGGACCATTTGGTCCTTTAAGGCTGTCCTTTCACACCCAAACTTGAGAACAGTAGGATATATTCAGGTTACTTTTTAAATTAATATAAAGTGCCCACCTCCAGTACTGGCAATGACTTATTCTATAAGCCATTCACCATGTCAGAAAAATAAAACTGTCTTAACTGGAACATTGCCTTCATTTTACAAATTTTAAACTTCTATTCTCTCATCCAATTGCCTTCACAATATAGCACAAAAAGAAGGCCTGTATCCTATTGGCTTTACTACTATCAACAGAGCACTGTGTTGATATCTTGAAAGACTTTTCAATCACAATGCCAAGATCTTTCTGTTATAGTCATGCTTTAAGTGGTTTAACATTCACATTAAATGTTGATCCAGATTATGATAACCCAAATGCATTATCTTGCACTTACTATACTTAAAAGGTCAGTTCCCAAATATTTGTACAACTAATTGATTTATCCAATCATTATCCTCAATATAGCTAGAAATCCCCAAGAGTTTAATATCATCTGCAAACTTTACTAATTTACTAACTAAGCTTTTATCATATCGGTAATATAGATAAGCAAAGGCTCAAGCACTTATCCATGAAGCATTTCAATAGTAACAAGGGTACAATTTGACTGGACTCCATAGGTGATAACTTACATGCTTTCTCTCATCCAACATCCTACACTGATATGGTTTTCTTAGCCAACCTTTTGTTTGGTACCTTGTAAAAAGCACACCAGATTAGTAAGGAAAAGTTTTATTAATGTCATGTGGAAAAGTCTTACTTCAAGTTTATTTACATACTAGAAGAGTTTCTTGTATTATCTTAATCTCTCAGAAAGTGTGTTTGCATGGTTCAGGATCTACTTCTGTGTTAAAAACACTCATGTCAAGTTAGTTGTGCTTGTTTCTGGGTTTAACATTGTATGCTGTAAAGAATATGAATCTCATTCATTTTTCATTTAGCCTTTGGATGTGTGATTTTGTTCAGATGCTTGTGTCTTGTTAGTCCTAGCACATCTTTCTTGGTAGCTGGTGATGAATACTTGCTTTTACACTTAAAAAAATAGGAACAGTATTGGAAAATATTCAGTCATGATAAAATATTTTGATGAGGTAATATAATTTTTTTATTTCAGTTTACATTTGGTTGATTCACCAAAATTGAAACATTTTCCCTACATTTAAGAAAATTGTCATTATGAAAGGCTTATGCTTCACTTCATAGCTAAAACTCTTCAGCTCAAGGCTATTTCTACAGTAGGTAATTTCCATTTTTGGAAAGAATCATTAAGTTTAACATAGCAATATTGAAAGCCACATTTTATTTTGCTTTATATGTTACCTGTGAGTTTTTAATAATGGCCCTTCAATGCTGTTTTTATTATATATATATATATATATATATATTTGTTTCAAAAGACAGCTATGACAATACTGTGCCACTCATTTTTGTCAAACTTTTCATAAACAGATTAATGTCTACAAAGCTTTGAAGCTCATGCTTAAATAGAACAAAGTCCTTTGGAACTGGAACAGGAACTTAACTGTTGTGTGGTGAAACAAACTTGTTATAATTCCAGCTTATTTGGCCAACTTTTTCATGAAAACAGCTATTTGTTTTGAGATATGTTTGTAAGCCTTTTTTGACTTAATTTAGTGATCTGTAATGTCTTGAAGTGTTATTTTGGAGCCCATCCTGACATTTGCAGTAATGTACATGCATTTCTACAATTTGTAAACAGTCTTCTGTATTGACTTCCTTTATATGCTTTTCTGACAAGTTATGGTTGTAACTACAGTCCTCAGTTTATCACGATATGTTGTAATGAAATTTTTCTCTCTTTTTTTTTTTTAAGTTATGGCAATATCTTTCAACAAATAATCAATATTTAGAATAGTTTGTTTAAATGAAACTTGTTTATATAAAGTGTCATGACATCAGTATTCTCAAATTAAAATAGCTGTGTAGTATGGGAACTACAGATAGCTGGTTTTAATTAGTTTCATTACATTTTAATCATTTCATATTTTTGATATGTAGGATCAAGATGTATTTGAAATTACAGACTTTACCACTGCTTCTGATTGGGAAAGGTTGGTGCATTTTTCCTAATTAAAACATACCAATAATATAAAATGTATATGTTTTATTGGCTGAACATACATAATTTCAATGTATTGCTTAGATATATCCATTATAAAGATTTAAGTGTTAAAAGTATATTCATAAATAATTCAAGAATTATTTTACAATCATTGTATATTATAATATACACTAAAAGTAAATTTTTTTCACTTCTGGTCTGTTTTTAAGATCTAGATATGCTAGTTGAATTTGTAAACCAATAATTTAAATGAAAAGAGAAGTTGTTTTGGCTCACCCAAATTGCCAGTCTTTCTAACAAAATGTATAAATCCAAACACACAAATAAAACATAATTTCAGTGAAGTATAAACATTAATGAAACTCGCTTTTAGGTCAAGCTACATTTCCTTTAAATTTTGTGAATATTAATAAAATTCAGTAAGAATGCTGTCACAACACTTTCATGTTATAGTTAACTCTTCCAACCTTATCATTCCAAGAGTTTCACATAATGCCATACAATCAATTTTCTTTTTTTGTTATCATTTGACCATTTGTACTTTATGTTACATGTTGTTGTGCTTAAATGTTGTTTTACAGCTCTGAAGGACGTTAGTATTGATGTACTTTTTTTCAATTTTCAGCCAATATGAAAATTTATCATGAAATTATTTTATATAATCCAGGCATTTTTGTTTCCCTATAATGATTATCTCTGATATTTTAAACAGGTTTATAGCTAGAATAGAAGAAATTTTCCATGAATGGAAATTACCAACTTTACAACAGGAGTGTCCATTGAAAAGGGTAAGTTGGAATGATTTATTTTTGTATAATTGAACTTTCTCACTTTATTATCCTCTCAACTGAAAATATTCTGTGGGATATAGCAATGAAATTATCTGTCTTTAAGTAGAAATCTACTTTTTGCATGATAATTAGAGTTCTAAACAGCAGATTTTAATCAAACCACTCCTTTGGGGCTTAGGAATAACCCTATTACTTTTTGGGTGAAAAAGGTTAAAAGTTAAGTTCATTTTATTGAAGTAGAAATTTCATTTCTGTGGAAAAAAAAACAACCACAAAACACACACACCATATTTATCAACTCACCAAAACAAACAAAAAGCTAGTGGTTGGGTGGTCAGTCATTCTATTAATGACTATTTTTAGTTTCTTAGGAAAGATCTCTGTGTAGGTGGGGAAAAAAATTACAATTTTAGAATACTTACATTTTCTGTAAGTAGTTATAAAATAATCACAAGTAATGTGATACTACTAAAAAAACTAAGCTATCCTGGGATTATAAGAAGATTGGAAAAGGGAAAAAAATTATGTATCAAAAATTAAAAGGTAAGGCCAAAAGTGTTTCAATGGGAACGTGTATCCACATTTTAAAATGTAAAAATTATATTGACTATTTGGTTAAATCAGAGTTTGTTACTTAGGGTTAAAAATGTGTTGTGAAAAAATCTAATTACAAATACAGTGTTTGTTCTTCTGAGTCATGATGTTAATCATCCAACAAAATAGTATAAGATGTTTTGAATTACTTTTCAGAAGTTACATGCATTTATAAACAGACAAATCCATTACAGGTGACAATGAAAAGCTCTGTCTAAACCAATTTATATCAACAAAACATATCATGTAGTAAAAAGCACTTACACACATATATACATGTATTTATAAAATGTGTAAGAAAATATATTTAATTTTTCCTTTTTTTTTACATTAATGTATATGTAATATTTACATGTTTGAAAAACAAAACATAATTTCAGTTGGATCATGTGAGCAATATGTATTAACATTTACACTGCATATGAATACACAAAACAGATGGGTGACATTTGGCCCATCAATATCACCCTCAAACCTTTCAACAGTAGTCTTTTCTGTTTATATACTCATCTGCCTGAAGAAACTATACAAGTATGAATGATTCACACCAACTCCTTTCACAATCTGAACAATCGAAGGTAATTTTTTTTTTTCTGAGAGTAAGCATGAATCTAGGTATTTATAATATTGGTCTGTGGCATATAAAACACCATATCTGACAAGCAGATTATATACTTCATTTTGTGGCTGAAACACCTAAATGACACTCTTTTATCCTTCTTATTCTTTTGGGTTCCAAAGACAAAAATTTAAATGTAACTTCATTACTTGAGAAGAATTCTAGTGGCTCTTCTGTATTTCAGTTCTGTATCCCTACTCACTGCATAAAAACTGAACAATTTAGAACTAGATAAAGCTAGATAGCTCAATAGTTTTACATTCCATGGCATAGTTAAAATGCCATCTATTAAAGAAAATATATAATTGATATATGATATAAAAAAGTAGATGTGGTAATTAATAAATATAAAAATGACCACTAGACCTAAAACAGGCACAAAATTACTAACTAGAGTGCTAAATAATGTAAACTTTACTAAG